TCTACTAGTGGCATCCTTCGTTTCTCTCAATTTTCTACTGCTTTCCCAAGAAATCTGCTACGAAGTGCTAATTTTCTGCTGTAAACAACAGTTTGCATTCTGTTTTCTCACTAATTTCGATTAGGTTTGCTTGCGAACTCGAGTATTACCTTAGAGTTACTTGCAAACTCAAGCACTTCCTATCAAATTGGTATCAGAGCGTTGTCTTGGGACCATCGACGGCTGAAATTTAGAAATTTCAGCAAGGAACTTTTATCCGCAAGAAATCTTCTCGGCATCCTTGAGAAGGAAGATGGATGGAAAGAAAGTGGAAGTATTGGAGGGAGAAATATGCCAACTGAAGATCGATTTTGAGGAAAAAACCGCTAATTTTCAAAACAAATTCGCTTCCATCCATGAAAAGATGGATAGGAGGTTCACCGCCTTGGAAGATATGATAAAGAAGATGCTTGAGGGCAAACAAAATCTGACGACATCGGAAGCAAGGGAAACCACCGACGACAATGGGAGATGCGGGAACCCGAACCCATTTACGGGGAGGGAGAATCCGGAAGTAGAGATCCTTGAGGGGAATGATGGAATGCCTCCGCTAGAACCACTTTCTAGAAAGGAGATGATCATGGGCTATGAAAGGAGGAGTGCTGAATTTTTTTGGGAGAAGGGATGAATTTTATCGTTGGGGTGCTAAAGATAAAAGGAAAATAGGGGAATATGAGGAAGGGCTTGGGTACGATTGTCGGAGGGAAGATCGAGACCACTGGGAAGCTTTCCCTCCTTGAGGAATGGGAGGTTATGGAGGAGTTAGGGGAAACAGGGGTGACCCGAGGGTGAAGAAGTTGAAGATTCTCATCTTTGAGGGCGAGGATGCACATGACTGGTTCTATAAGGTGGAGTGGTACTTTGCAGTCAATGGGTTGACAGTGGAGGAGAAACTAACAGCGACAGGTCTTTGTTTGGAAGGGAAGGCATTGGCGTGGTACCAACGGCGGGACATGAGGCGGCCCATTCGAAGGTGGAGAGAGTTCAAGGACTATCCATTAGAATATTTCCGAACCAGTAGGGGAGGATACTTCTATGAGCAGTTCTTTGCCCTGACGCAGGAGGGGACAGTGGCAGAGTATCATGACCAGTTTGAGTATCTAGCGAGCAGGTTGGATCTTCTTTCTAAGACCGTGCTGGAGGGGAACTTCATGAAAGGGCTCTAACCGGATATCAGAGCAGCCATTAGAGTGATGAAACCGTGCGACTTGAGGGAGGCCATGGAGTTGGCGCAGTTGGTTGAGGACTAAAAGCATATGGAGAGGGGAGCTCGAGGCAGTAGCTCTGGGGGATCCTACAGGATGACTACTACTATTCTAGCTCCCAAAGGAGGTGCACCGGGAGGTTCACAAGAAGCACCAAAGGAGAGGACTAGAGGAAGGGGGCTTAAAGGAAATTTTAAGAAGCTGACTGAGAAGGAGATCAAGGAGAAGAAGGCTAAGGGGTTGTGATGCGGAGCATGTTAGCTTAAAATGTTCCTTAGACTATCTAATTTAGTTTGTTACAAGTTGTTGCATATTTTCTAGAATCATCTAGGTTTCTACTTGCTTTTTATATATAGATTGTAAAAGAGGAATAGAGGATGATGAATATTATCTCTTTTATGAAGCTTTGAAGCTTGTGTTACTCTTGTTCCCTGGATTGGGATTATCTGCCTTCAAGCATCCTCTTCTTCCATCGATCCAATCTACATCAGTTTGGTAAATTATATTGTTTCAAACAATCAGCTATCTTCTTGATAAGGAGGTTGTTGTGCTTCAGGATGTTTGCAGCAAAAAGGTGGCAATCAATTTGATGGTTAATCAACTGATGGGAGTGTCATCTGAGTCTAAAATCAAAGAGATAGCATGTTTTGTAGATGGTTGCTTATATGTCCCAATTAATTTGCTAGGATTTATCTATCACACTGCTGTGAATGAAAGGAAAGACATCATTGCAAAAATCAAGAATATGATAGCTAATGGGCATCAGCGGGGTGGATCTATAGAACGAAGCGGAGTTCTTGGTAGGCTGGTGGAGGAAGAGAACTTGAATGATAATCAAATTGTTGATTTCATCATAAACTTGCTCTTTGCTGGAAATAAAACTACAACTAAAATAAGGTTGTTCGTTGTTTACTTCCTCACTCAATGCCCTCAAGCATTAGAACTGTTCCTGATTGAGCATGAGTGCATCAGAAGAAGGATCCATAATGAGATTCTTGAATGGGATGACTATAGAGCCATTCTTTTCAATCAATGTGTTTTTGATGAAAACCTCAAACTTGAGGGTATAGCAATTTGGTTGCTGAGGGAGGCAAAAGCAAATGTGGATGATAAAGACTTTACTATCCCACAAGGATACCTTATACTGCCATTTCTATTAGTGATAAAGACTTTACTATCCCACAAGGATACCTTATACTGCCATTTCTATTAGTTATTCAATTGGATGAACGAATATATCCTGGAGCTTTACCATTCAACCCATGGAGAAGGTTGGCTGAAGAGAACAAGGAGAAAAGAAATTGGAGAACTAGCCCATATTTTTCATCTTTTGGAGGAAGAGCTAGATTTTCCCATGGTGCTAAAATTTCACTTTTTCTTATTACAGTTACACTACAATTTCTAGGAAAGCCTGTTGAGAATGTTTCTTCTTTGCAAGATTGGCAACTTTCTTCTGAAGAAACTAGCATATGCCCAAGTCATAAGGAAGGCTTTACTTACATTGACTTGACTGTAGTTCAACAATTCCTACATATGACATTTTCAAGTCTCCAACATGATTGGTTTACCATTAGTAGCTTGCTTCTAGCTTTTACTCATCCAAACAAGTTTGTGGATATATATCAAAGCGGTAAAATCTTCGATCCAGGAGGATTACTCATGAGTATTACACCTATCTCCTTCCAGATGACACGCCTCGACGGAGTCGAGCTCTTTTGATGCAAGGGGAGAATGATGCGGAGCATGTTAGCTTAAAATGTTCCTTAGACTATCTAATTTAGTTTGTTACAAGTTGTTGCATATTTTCTAGAATCATCTAGGTTTCTCTAGGGTTCTACTTTCTTTTTATATATAGATTGTAAAAGAGGAATAGAGGATGATGAATATTATCTCTTTTATGAAGTTTTGAAGCTTGTGTTACTCTTGTTCCCTGGATTGGGATTATCTTCCTTCAAGCATCCTCTTCTTCCATCGATCCAATCTACATCAGGTTGTGTTTCAGGTGCGATGAGAAGTACATGCCAGGGCATAGGTGTAAGGACCAAACTCTTCAGGTTCTCACCGTCTGCGATAATAAGGAAACTGAGGGAGGTGAGAGCGGGATAGTGGAGGAAGAAGAAGATAATCTACATCTGTACGTAGCTGAAGTCTCTCTAAACTCTGTGGTGGGATTTACACCAAATCACACCATGAAGGTGAGAGGAGAAATATGGGATCGGGAGGTAATGGTGTTGATCGATAGTGGGGTCACCCACAATTTCATCTCTAACCAAATTATAAATCTGTTGAGGGTGAAATTAGTGTTTTTAGGATATGGAGTGATGATGGGCATGGGGAAGGTGGAGATGGGGAGAGGAGTTTGCAGGGGAGTGGTATTGTTTATTTAAGGGATACATGTGAGGGAGGATTTTCATCCCTTAGAGTTAGGGAGTACCGATATCATCCTGGGGATGAAATGGATGCAGACTTTGGAGGAGACCAAGGTCAAATGGGGTGCTCTGAGGATGGAACTGATGGTGCTCTGTGGAGACCAAGGTCATACATCATTAATTCGATGTATTTCCTTTCATATATCACGATACTAATCTTATACTTAATATGAATCATAATAAGATATACTCATAATAGTCCAACAATAATGTCTTTATAAAAGACAAATCCTGTCAATATTCACATAAATACTCATGCATACACAACATATTAAACATGATACACTAATTATCGAAAACTAAATAAAAGAGTTCAAAGTATTAAAAGACATAAAGAGAAACAAACATAAACTTAATAAGGATATTAAATAATGCTCATCCTAGCAACATGTTCATGAAATATCTTCGGTGGCAACCCTTTAATTAATGGATCCGCAATCATAAGATTGGTGATAATGTGCTCAAGTGATACTATTTGTTTCTGAACTTCTTCCTTGACGACAAAGTATTTTAACTCCATATATTTAGCACATTTTGAATACTTGTCGTTTTTAAAAAAGAAGACTGATGCATTGATAATGCCCTATATATTAGCAGAGTTCTATATAGTTGTTCTTTTCAATGTAGATTTCAAACGATAATTGAAGAACGGATTATTATGATAGCATTTATAGCTAATCATTTGAATGGTAAACCAGAGTGTAAATGAAAACTACAGCAACAAGGGTAGAATCATGTATGATAACCTAGCAACTATAGATTTTCAGCAACATGAATTGAAAAATTAAACCATGTACTGGCATTGTACTTGAAAGAAGATTTTGGTAAGTAAAAAAATGAATTGAAGAATTATATAGAAGTCCATGATTTCCCTGTTATGTCGTTTCATCGATTCAGTTACGAATTCCTCAGCACATGAGCATAACAAATTCAAAAGAAAACCCCCTTGCCAAAGAATACTGCCGTATTTACAACCCCCCACAAAAGAGAAAAACAAAAAAAAAAAAAATCTACATTTTAAAATGCATAAATTTAATCTTGTTACCAGCTAGCTTAATTGATAAAGGGTTTTAAATGTTGCTAAGATTCTGTGATTTAATCTTGCCTGATGCATTAAATTTATACTTCAACAGCCAACTTAAACTAAAATTTGTATGTAATCAATTTCAAATCTAATATTTATTTTATAAAAAATGTTGAATTAATGATCTTCAAGTTTTTCATATTGGATCAAAATGGCGCTCACTTTAATAGACGGACTTCAACGAACAATATACTGGAAAAAATAAACAATCTGTACAAGAAAACTTCCGGGAAAGGCGCTCACTGTAAAAGACAGGTTTCAACAACTCGCGGTCTTGAGGATGGCGAACGGGCGAGGAGACCTGAAGCGGAGGTGGAAGCGAATTGAGGCCGATTGAATGTGGGTTCACTACCGAAACCGGCTTGTGGGAGTTAAGCCTTCTGTTGGCAGGGGTCGGCGACGAGGCTAGGATTCGGATGGCCGTGCCGGTGGCTGAAGCCATAGGTCGCCGGTGAAAGAAAGTAGTTTTGGAGATGACCTTATGCTCCTCCAAACTCACAGAACTCTCGCGCTCTATGCAGGCATTATCTCACTGCTCAAGTCCTTTGAAGATGAAATGGGAGGAGACAGAGTGGATCAGGTAACCACTCATTGATTAGAATTGGATGGCGACACGGATAGGATTTGGGTGGCTTCTCGTGTTGAATGGAGCCCGCCGCTTTGCCGTTGTTTTTTTTTTAGGCTATGTAAGAAAATAATTGGTGGATTTAAATATTTAATATTTAAAATATGCTATTTATTTATTTTATATTTGTTACTTGTTTATATGATAAGTCCTAAAAAATCATCTTGATCAAGCATGATACATGAATCTTACAAAAAATATATATTAAAAACATTTAAAATTAAATTTGAAATCATTCAAATTTCGATTACAACAAACATATAGTCAAATTGAATGTCTCAAAGAGATTAATCCAACGACGTCAAAATAGGTCTAATTTGAGCCCAAATTGACCCAAATCAAGGATCTAATGCATATTTTGAAGCTTCAGGACATTAATTAGAGGATCAAATTACCTCTAAAATTGTCATGCTTATAGTCAAATAGAGAGGCTAAATAAGACAAATACAAGGAGCCTAAGATCAATGTATTTTGACATTATTAATGCACTTAAATGCTAAATAAAAGATATATGATTGAGAGAATTAATATATGATGTCCAATGAAGTGCACCAAATTTGCTTCATACTTATGTGGCAAGACACATTGACACCCTAAAAAAATTATAAACGGGACCCCACTTCAAATATAAAAGGTGGAGCCTAGGACATTAGTTAGAGAGAAAAAAGAGCTTTAAGGCTTAAATAATCTTTGGAGCTCCAACCTAGCACCAACATCAGCAAACTCTTGCCACAAGGCCGTCGTCCTGGCATATTTTCCCTCTCTTCAAACTAGAGCTATCCCTCTCTATTGTGACAACACCTCCGTCATCGCTCTCTCTAACAATCCTATATTTCACGCACACACGAAACATATTGAGATCGACAAGGCTATATAAGGTCAAAGGTGGTGGAAGCCAGAGCACGATTTTCGGCTTCAGTGGGAGATTTTGCCACTGTGGGTTCCTTCTTGACCACCAAGATACCAAGGTGTTGCTAACGAAGGAGCAGAAGACAGTTACAGACCCGCAATCTACGCTGTCCGCCGCCAAGTTCGAGTTTAAATATGAGCGGAGTGTGTGAGGGCCTTTGGTAATGACCAGAAGCCAGGTGGTGAGAAATTGCTATGAAGAAAGTAAAATTTTCAAAGTTGCCATAGAATTGAGGCATGCATGTTCTTAAGAGTGAAATAGAAAAGAAAAGTTAAATCAAAATTCAACTATAGCAAAGTAAACTTAAAAAAAAAAATCATGTTTTATATCATAAGATAAACAGAATTTAAAAATATTACATTGCAATAAGGGATTCAGAATTGATCTCTTTTTTTAGGTCGGGCAAATTAGAATCGAGACGTGTATAATCCTAAGGGTAAAATAGAAAATAATTTTTTTTTATATAATTTTGAGCTAATATATTTATTGAAATAGAGAAAAATAATTAAAATATTTATTCTTTTGTACAGATATTACAGATCGGGCAATTGAGCTTTTCCGCTGCAAGTCGGTGAAAAAATAGCGTTTGTAATTAATAATGGAGGAGTTAATGACGTTTAGGTATTTTAATAGTCATTATTATAATCTTATAGCAAAAAAACATATATGTTGCTATGTTGATAGGCAGTTCAATATATATATATATATGAAATTATAATTGAGATTTTTGAACTCTTTCAAGTTGAAACTTTATATAAAATTAAATAGAGAAATGTTAAGATTTTATATGAGAAGAATTGTAAATTATTTTATAATAGCATATATAGGAGCGCCTAGGTGTGAAGTTGATTTCTCCTAAAGCCACCATGATTGACCATTGGAGCACAACAGATAACTGAAGCTCTTAATGAAATTGTTGGCCATTGGTTAATGGTATAGTTATTTTAATAATAGACGATAAACATTTTACTCCTACAAAAATCATTGCATACAATTCAAATATCATGACATATAATGTAATTAAAGAGTAAATAATGAACCCTAATGATATATGTTTTGTTTGAATGAAAGGTGAAATAAAAGATTAATTATTGTCCCAAACGAAGCTTAGGACAGTTTTTTTTTAATGATTTCTAAAGCAGTTTTAAGTTGAGTTTGCTCTCCTCCCCGAAGGTTTTAGGGCTCCATTAGGGCTTCATTCCTAGCTGCCTCTTGTCTGTCTGCTGGCGAAGTTCTAGCTTATACTTTCAATTTTTTAGGTGATCTCTTTCCTCTCTTCGTGCTTTTGTTCTTTCATTTGGTTTGTCCACCTCCGACCCCTTGTGGCCGGAATGGTGGTGAACCACTTGGTTGATCCTGGTTTCCTGGATGGATCATCTAAATCTAGTTCGTTTCTTGATGCTCTTTATGGTAGCCCTTTAGATGTGAACTTTCTTAATCTCAAGGTGACAAGTTTTTGTTGTTTGCCGTCCCTTTAGATCTCGGAGGAGAAAATCCTCGAATTAGCGGCTCCTCTTCGTTTTGCTTTGGTCGGTAAATTTCCTGCACACCGTCCTTCTCTTGATGCCATTCAGAGGTTTTTCTTTAAGCTCAAGCTTAACGGAGAATTTTTGATGACTTTGCTAAATTTTTACATGTTCTCATTAAGTTGTTTAATGATCTAGATTATAGCCATGTGTTCTCCCACAGATCCTATTTTGCTAACAACTGCTACATGAAATTGATCAAATGGTCACCCCTTTTTGATATTGGTATGGAGTCTCCGGTCATCCCTATATGGGTCTCCTTTCCTAACTTGCGACCTTACCTTTTCTCACTTTGTATACTTCATGCACTGGATTCGTTGTTTGGTCTCCCTCTTAAAGTTTATCATGCTAGCTCTATCCCGTCCCTTGGTGGCGCGCGTCTTACTTGAGCTTGACATTTCTAAAAAGTATCCTGATAAAGTGTGGCTAGGCCTTGAAAATTTTGGTTACATTCAATATGTTGAAATAGAGGTTTTCCTTCCCTATTGTGGTCTTTGTAAATGTTTAGGACATTTAAAATATGATTGTCATCCTCTTTCCACCTTTGTCATGATTTTTCCTTCTGTTAATCCAAATTTAGCTATTACCTCTAATGGAAATGTGAATGTTGTAGTGAAAAATTTGGATGCTCTCACGCCTTCTTTCCTTCCTCTTTCACCGGTACCTGTTGTGGTGGATAATGGGGATATGAATTTGGAAACCCCTTTAGTTGTAGATGTTTTCCATAGTGATGCTCACACTTCAATTGATGTTGAGAAGAAAGATGCTCCATCAACTGATGTTGTGTTTGTGGCTATTTATTTTGATTTTAGAGAAAGTGATTATGTGAGTTTGGGCGCCAATAATTATTTAATTAACTTAATTCCTTCTCCTATTATGTTCGCCTTTGTTATGGTTGCTGATGAGGTGGAGGCTGTTGCGGATCATGCTGTTAATTCTGTTTCTTTGGAGGATGGGGCCAATACTTTGGGTGTTGGGGTCTCGGATGTGCAGGTTGCGTGTGGGGATGTTGAGGATTATAATGGTGTGGCTAATATTTTGAATGAATCTCACTTGGTTCCTATGGAACTTGTTTCTGGCGAGTGTGACATTCATTGATGTGCCAGTTTCTCTTATTACTAATGATGCTTTGCGTGCTCATGTGTTGGACAATTACAAGGACCAAACTGACTGGCTAGATGATTCTTTTTCCTCACCGTGTGGTGTTGGGGAGGAGTTGGAAGGACCTGAGGAGGATTTTATTTCTCTATATAATTTAAATGTCGGTTGTGTCATCGAGAAAGCTTTTTGTTCAGGGAGGTGGCAAATGGAGTAGGTGGAAATAAAAAAAAAAAAAAGATGAAATTTTGGTTCCTTCGATTTTGGGGTGGTGCTTGGGTGTCGGGTTTTTTTTTTCCATCTCGTTTATGGGGAATACTTGGTGTTTCCTATAGTGGCTGGTTTTTGGGTTTCATTTGTTGCTTGGGATTTTTTTTTTTGGTTAGTTCAGGTGCTGGCTTGGTATTTGCTGTTGCATTTGGTTGCTCTTTGCTTCCTTATTGTAGGTTCCTTACTTGCTCCTTCTCCTGCTCTTGATGGTTGCAAATTTTCTGGAGTGGCTGATTGAGTGCTTTTTGTTAGCTCCTACTCTTCTTGGTGGTCTTCTTGAGGTTATTTATTTTAGTTTTTCTTGTCGTTTAGATTGCTTTTCCACTGTCTTTGCTTGTGGTTGTAATAGATGGTTCAATAGCCTTTAGGTTTTCTTTCAAATATTGTATTATAGGAGGCTGTTGATTCTTTAAGGTTATGTGATCCCTTTTCTAATGAACATGTATGTCCCTACAGTGGGTTTTATCTAAAAAAAAAGTGAAAAAAAAAAGATTAAAAAATTCAATAATTAGTGGTTGATTATGAATTTGCACTTATTGATGTGTATTTTTTTTATCTTAAATTATTTTGATTCTCTTTTATTTAAATTTGCATAATGTATGAATATATAATAAATTAACTCTTGATGCAACCCAAGGACCTGAAAGTAAGCAAGACAAATTATGCACAGAATCAGAAACAGAGAAAACTAACAAAAGTTAAGAATAAGGCGGCTCCGCGGCCTCATAATAGAAATTCTATTGATAATTGAGATGCCAAAAATTGAGTCTCTACATCCTTCTCTTCTTATATATAGTTTCCACTGTTTCTATAATATCAGATAAATAGCTTTTACTAATAATTGTGCAACAAACAAAAAGGAATAATAGTACTATGATAACAGAATTGGTATGGTGGAGGTAGAGAATGCAAAGTGGCGGTATGCTGTGCTGGCCTTAACGTGCACTGCATCAACTCTTATATTATTTTGATCTAAAAAATAGAAAAAAATTCATTTTAAATCAATTTTGGTTGCCAACCATTTTTTTTTAAATTAAGAGTAAAATTAGGTCAGGTTGGCTTTAAAAATTTTGAGCTTGCTTTAAGATGCGTGTAATATATAAATGATCATGAAATTTTTAAAACCCATCAGGAG